GTCCAGGGATCAATTGCTTCGACCGAGTGCACATCGGCCCATCAACCCAACAAAAAAAATTGCACCCTCCTCCTTTCTGATTAATACAAAATAAAACAAAAAAAAATTCTACAAAATTAGGGTTCTTTATTTCAAAACCTAAATTGGAAGATACCTTATAATTGCATGAGTAGAACCATCTTCCTGGGTTTTCGGATGTCCAAGATGTACGAACAACACTTGGTTTGCTGCAATCACACTCCTTCCCCGACGCAGTGTAGGAGCCCTCTGATACTTCCTCCATGATTGAAAAATTAGGGTTCATGGGACGGGTCTGAACAATTTGGGGCAATATAAAGACTTACGGGCCGTCCAATTTCTCTCTAGTTTCGTCCGAGGTGGCAATGTTACTTTGCCATCTTATTTTTTTTTTATATTTTTTAATGTTTTTATTTCCACGTCGAGCAGGGTGCAAGGCCACGTGCGCAAGAACCGGGCCAGGTCGACATTAATCGGGTGAAAATGGGTCACGTGGGAGGCACGTGCAATTTCCAGCCAAAAATCTCCAAAATTGACGTGAGAAGGACTAAAATTGCACCAAAAAATTTAATTGCGGGACTAAATGTGCCACATTCCTATAGGAGAGGACTAAAATTGCACTGACATCCAAAAGTCAGGACCAAAAATGCATTTTAGCCAGAATAAAATTATGAAATTTTATGGAAATGTTCATATATGAGTAAGGAAGCTGCATACCAATTTTCATATTTTTATCTTAAGAATTGAGTGAGTTATGAATTTTACAAATAGATGGTGCAAGCAGTTTTTTTGTGAACCGGCAGCATGTTATATTAAATGTATGACCTTTTTATCATGTCTTAATGTGCTCAAACGCAAAGATGATCTTTATGAAAGTTATAGGTCTATCCCTTATCTTTCTAATAAGATAGGGTTAATACTTATAGGAGGTCTATAGTGTGAATTAGAGTCTAAATACTGAGGTGCTGTTGTGACATAAATTTGTTTATGACAGATTTCATGAACCAAATATTTCGTGCTTAAAGTCATTGAGAGCATTGTTATTTGCCAATGTGATCTGAAGAAAAGTTGTAGATATTTGAGTTAGCTTCTATGTGGTTTTTGAATATCACTAAAAGCATGTTTGTAGCTTCATTTATCCTACAATTACTGAAGTCCTGTCAGCTGTATGATTTCAATTGTGGGCTGCAACTCGGTTATGAATGTTTGTTGATTTATCGCTTGCCAAATGACCTTATTTGTTTCCAATGTCTTCATAAGAATTGTAAATGCATATCTTAGGTTAAAATGCAACTGAAATCATGATTATATGACAAGTGTGTTGTAAGTTATGTTGACTTTAAAATCGTTACTAGAGTTAGGTTTTGAAAACTCTTGTTTTATTTTCGGAAATAGAGATACTTTTTAAAACGTGTACTATTATAGCCTATATGAGCTGAGTTAGATTAAGTGAATGTTTTTTATATGTTTATATAGCTTAAGGAGAGTCGAGCCTCCGACAGCTACTTCAGTTTCAAGCACTTGCAACAGATATTTTCAGTATACCAGGTGGGGGTCATGTACTGGTTCCCCATCATATATAATATTGGTACCATGGCAGAGGTATGTTTGAGACAGTTAGTTTCTCCAGGTGGAGGCCGATGGCCTTAATATCCCATCTGGAGACCCGGTGGAGGCCAAGGGCCTTAATATCCCATCGGGGTGTGCACACGAGCGGCCAAGGGCCGAGGGTCTTTTGACCATAGTAAAGCAAGAAAACAAAGTTTACAGATTCAGCTCTTATATATTTATGTTCATGATACGATATTATAAATGTTGTTTTATTCAGTACTGGTCTTTGCGGAGCATAGTGGTTTGCTCACGCCCCAATTGTGTTTTTCAAGAGACGGAGTCGAGCGTGCCGGGTGAGCATAGACGTGGCAAAGCGTGGTCATGAGAGTCTTGGACATTTTTATGCATATTTTATGTCCTAGTCCTGGACATTTTTATGCACATTTTATGTCCTAGTATTTATGATCATGTATTTTCGGATATGTATGCATGTATTTCTGTATTTCGGACGCTTCCGCTAGCAGGCTAGACAGTGCGAGACAGTTCAGACATTGCATGTTTAATTCCATTATCCGTAGCGCATAGTTTGGTTGCGTTTTATATATGTCTGTGAGCAAGTTAAGTAAGTTTTTATCCGTTACATCCCGCAATCAGTTAGTATTTTCGAAAACCAAGCTCGCACGACCTTTCGAAAATAAAAGCAAAAATT